ATCAGGTTTCCCAAGCGGATAATTCACAAAATAAGTATTTTCCGGTTAGAGAGGAAAAGTCACGTCGTATTCAAGGAGCGCGCGTATTCGAAGTCGTTTTACATCTTTACATTCTCTCCCGTCTTACTCTCCTGACAACTTTAACTACGCTTATTATTAGTATTATTATTACTACCGATATATATGCATATATCAACCTCAAATTTAATCAGCTGACTGTTGTTACGTTTTCCTTATTTCTTTTTCTGTCTGTTGGTCTGAATAACTTCACTGAGTATGTCTATCATTATTATTAACATTATTATCTCTTTTGTTTTGACGACGATACCGCATTACTGACTGGTGAAAGGATCAACTCCATTCACAGTAGTAACAGTCTTAACACACATCATACCACAAACCATATGTAATTAATCGCAGCACAACTCCTTTTGGAGTCAACCAAAGCTACGACAGTCGAGTGGTGGGACGAGCTACGCAGAAGTTTACCGAAGATCAGGAACCCATTCCTCATAATCAAGAGGCGAGCACAAAGAAATCAAATTGGTTTATACTAGCTCGTAAAAACGATATTGGACATTGGATATTGGATTGAGTGACCACTTGTTTAGTCGATTGCCTTTCGAGGACTAGAACGTTCTTGACTTCCCGCATACTTGGAGTTTTGTGTTCGAAATGCCAAGAGGTTAGTGTTGCACATGTTTCTTCTGGCTGTTCCTATTATTTTCTCCTTTAACAATAACTTTCGACTTAGTTCTGGACAGTCACTCATGTTTATAATATGTTTCCTGATTTTTGTGGTTGTTTTTATTTTAATGTCATCCGCTGAAAGTAGAATACTCAACCTAGAACATAGTGTCATTTCCTCGGAATTGAGCTGAAGCGCTCATCTACGTTTTCTGTTGTGGGTTGTCCTCCATAGCTTGTTGTCGATGGATAATGTCAAAATGGTAGTTCTTTTTCAAATGGACGGACGAGTTCATTAAGAAGTCCTGAAAGGGATTCCACTAAGCATCGGTTCTTGTTCAGATACTATCCTGTTAGCATTTAATAGCGTGTAGGCTTTCCTGGTAAACCTGCGTCAGCACAGACATAAGAGGCTGGTGTGGCGTTTGCCAACTCATGTTATTTGTGGTGGAAACGTCATGCTTAGCTGTCGATCGCCTTCCTGGACGAGCTATGTTAGCCGGTATGGGATTAGGTTGGGGAAAGAGTTAGGGGTAGTCAGACCAAAACCTGAGAGCATTCGATGAAGTCTTAGACAGTTGGTTTGAGCTAGCCACGTAGGGAAATACAATCCGCCTGGTTGAGATGCTCGGGATGCTAAGAAGCCATGCCTGGAGACTATTTGTTGTATGGCACATGGTCGTCCTCAGTAACACAGAGGCATTGACTTCCATATCCGTTAAGCCGTGCTACTATTCCATTTTTACTCAAACTTCCGTTAACTGTATTCCCTCGTACCTCTTTATTTTTTCTCTCTTGTCTAGCTTTGTGCTACATGGAATGTGACCACTTGAACTGCTGAAGGGCTGTGCTCAGTCCCATGTTCAAACTCAGTTTGTTGATTAAGAAACCTACTTGAAGCTGTGGGTGTGTGAAAACTGCGCTAGCGATTTGAGTTCGCGAGATAGTTCACGTATCTAGTTGTATAAAGCGTCATTCATTATATTTTAAAACTTACATTGTCTACACCTTTTGTTGAAGGAGTTATAGAAGCCTCCTTAACCAAAACGTGAAGACCCCAGTTAATCACCAATGTTTGCTGCATCTAAAACACATACAGGATTGAATTGCCTTTGAGAATTTTACAGCTCTTAAATCAGATTTCTTGTTGACATATCGTTAGTCAAGAGTATCGAATGACTTCTGAGTGTAGTGTGATTGCGCACTTAAAGTCATGTCAGTTTTAGTTTGTAAAGTAGAGTAGGATGACTTGTATCTTCGATTTGTTGAGTTGATTACAACTGTTGAAAATGTCAAATAGATGATGACGTTGAACTACCACGTTGGCAACGCTAAACCTACTCCTAAACAACGGTAGTTACGAGCCTTTCATAGTCTGATGTGATTGGAGGATGTGTTACAACACATAGCTACCTAATCAACTTGCTTTAATCGAGGAGGGTGAAATATGAACTGAATGAGAGAAAGTTGCCGAACCCAAGACGAGACATCAGTTAACGAAGACACTGGTAGCTAGTCCGAGCTGTGTACTTTGCCGGACTGGAGCATACTTGACCACAAGCTTGAGTGATTTAACAGGCTGACTAATTATTTATTTCAATCTACCGCTAAGAGATTGTATCCTAAAACACCTTATTACCTCCAACGTGATATGAGAATGTGAGGTTTAGTCACTGCGCATTACCGCGAGATTCTGTTGATAATATACCATATTCATAACTTCCCTTACTTTTACAGACTACGAGAGACGTCCCCGCTCAAGTTTGCACTACGGATATGGAGCTCGTAGTGTTACATATGAGCTTTCAAGGGAACATTGGGATGGCCACTACTATCCTGATTACTGCGGAAGAGATGTGTATGGAGATCGGCATGAAGACGATGGAGAGGAGAGAGATCGATATGGTCGGAGAAGACATGGACTGAATCAGAGCGAAGAAAGGTGGAGGCGTTGTTCACGTCCTAGGAGTCGTTCAAGTGAGAGGGAGACAGAGGCGGTGGTGTATGTGGAAGGTAATCGATTTTCGTTATATAACCGCTTTATTTTTCAGAAAGACCAGCAGAACCTGAGACAGAGGAGGAGGCGGAGATTATGCGAACCATGGGGTTTTGTCGATTTAATACAACGAATGGGAAACTTGTAGTTGGTGATAGGGTTTACGTAAGAATGAAAGTAAAACAGTCGGAGTACCGTGAATACAATATTTAGCCCCTTGGTAGCGAATCGTCATCAGATTCTACACTACACAATCTCATTGCCCGATTAATAATTATCTTATTGATGAATATTATTGGAGTTGGTCGATGCATTGACTGTAAGAAGTGAGCAACACATTCATTGTTTGTAAGTTGGCTGAGAGTAGGTTCAACATATGCCATGAGACGCAGGAGTACTAGAACCATCAGCTGACTTTCGAAAGGGTTCATACATATGTACATTTGTGCTGGTTGAACTGAAACCAAAAAGGCCAAACAAAGAGTGATATTGACAATGGAACGAGATGTTATTGGCATTTTTCGCACGCATTACAAAGTGAGACGATTGGGTTCTGTTGTAGGTGTGCCTAATAAGGAGTACGAAATAATGTGGTCCGATGGTGACTGTGACTAACTCCACTTCGTGACAACATCAGTCAGTGTTCCAACTTAGATGTTTCAAGTTTACAGTTTAGCCAACATTTCCTAGATAAACCGCGGAGGCGCTAGCGATTCGTTATACAACTTCGAACTGTGTGTGTGCAGAGAGGGTTTTGTTTGGCCTCTTTTTCTACCATGGTCTTAATCCCCTCACTACTTGTTCGCTTCAAACTAGTCACTATCACATGTTCCTTTTGCATAATTTCCTGATTTTTTTCTCACTCTCTTAGCACTTGTAAAATGGACAACCAACTACCTTACTTTTCACTGAGTAACAGTTTTCACCTTGTCAAATTTCAAGCCGTGACGTGCATTGTGCCGTTGGCTATTGCGTAATTTCTGTAGTAATCACTTCTTAATTTATGTTTGTACCAGTTATATCACCCCGACTCCCGTGCTACTCAGTGATAGACTACGTTCTTGGTAGATGTAAATACGATTGTACATCCTTCGAAGATGATTTCGTCAATAAAGCAAATTCTCTTCGCTGCACTGTCTTTTATTTTCGTGAATAAATGGATATTTTCTACCCTATAAAGTGATGCGCTTAACTTCAATATCGATAGTTATATACAGGTATTTTCTGAGGGAGAGTAAGGAAGTTACTTGCAGAAACATGTTTACTGTAGAAGTCCGTTTCGATAGTCATGCATAGTTTGGAAACATGAAGCTTACACAACACAGGAGTTTGATGGAGTTCAATAGTTGCTCTCTTTATTATATGTGTCCAAACCAATTCACTTTTAACAACCTTGTCCATAAAAAAGAAAAAAAGTGATAGAAGCTCAGTTTTGGTTTGACAACATTTATTCGATGCTGATCACTAAGTAAAAGAATTAGTCTGGCCATCTCGAACCGGAAAAACCATATATTGACGTCGTTAGAGGGAAGGACTAATTGGATGTTTCTTTCTCCATTATGGATAAGATTTTATTTTGATAAATCACACAGTGTTGTACAGTAATATATTATCAGTTAATATTACTGTACTGTACTGTACTGTACCACAGTGTCCAAGTTTTATACTCATATGGATGTTTCTTTCTTTACAAACGGAAATGTGCAGCAATACTAAAGATGTTCAGTGACAATTGCAGCTTTTGTACACTATATTACTTTCAAAGAGTAAGAAATATAGGAGTTTGACCAGGGATTGATGTCAGTTGGAGAAGCATCGAAAACCAGGGAGTACTGGAGAGTTAGTTTGTTAATCATCGACAGTACACACTCGGGTCTTGTATTGCGTGTCTCCAAAACACAACATACGTCCATGGCTCGAGATACCAGAGTTCTTTCTGGTGATGCCTGTTGTCCGATTTGGCAGAGGATTGTGACGTTGATTGGTCCTATGTGGAGTTGGTGAGGTGGCTTTAAGAGGCTGTCGGTGGTGTTTCTATGGCTCTCATCGTTGTTTGTGGTCATGGAGTAAAGTGAAGATGACTCACTATCCTGATGAATAGGGAACACCTTCCTGGCATGGTAGGACCTGCAGGAACAATGCTTCCAGTCAGTGGAGGTTGTTGGGTCATTGCGATGTGCAAGCCCGACCACTACGTCAAGGTAGCAACTATCGGTCGGGTTTTCGTTTGTGATACATTATATTTAGAGTAAAACTGTTGTGCACTTGACTTGTCAAAGGGGACTGAACAGTTGTAAATGAACAAGTGGTAAGTATTTCAAGAGCTTTTTCAGTTAGCCATTCACATGAACGTCTTGAAATCCTATAACTGAAATGAATTGGTAGAGTTGATGCATTACTGTTAGTGTCACTACTACTACTATCATCCACTGAAACTTGCTTGGAATCGAATGGCATGATAGATGTCTCTGTTTGATTATTTCCACAAACCACTTTTGATTCGATAGGACCAACTGTACGCTGATGGATATCACCAACTTGTAAATTATTTTTAGCATTCATTTCAAGCTGTAGTTTCTCAAGACGTGGGTAGACGTGTATACTCAATCGTACTGTCGGTTAACTTAGATGGGATTAATTCACCCAAACATATCTGATTCATTCTCAATGCTGGAATCGATTTCAGATCCCGTCAATAGTAAACGATTTGGAACGTCTAAAATCACTTTACGAACATGTCGTGATGCATTCCGAGGTAATAGATGTGTGTGTCCACTGAACGATACCAAGCTGGCTGTTTCGAAATTTGTTTATGTATATGACTTGAAGCACAAAAACACCAATCTGAACGAAATGGCTGTAATTGACGAAAAATTGTATATTTTATTGACCGTTATTTAGGTGATAGACACCTTTCACAAAGCACAGAAATAATACGGGTTTCAAAATAATGTGTGAAATTAGAAAACCTACTTACTTTGAACATTATAATTTCCACAGTCTTAGTCTATGCCAAGCAGTAATAGAGCTTAGATATACCTCAAGACAGACATTCACTTCTTTTCACTGCCAAGTGAGAAAAAATACTAGGAGTGAGGTGACAAGTGATTCCTTGTAAGACTGGCTCTTGCGCATGGAAAGGTTATCAAGTGGTGATCAACGTAGCTATCTAGTTTTTGATAAATATTCGTGAATAAAATTAAATACTTTCCTTGTAGCTCAATCTATAGAGAAGGACTGAAACCGAGTGCAGTAGTAAGTGTAACGTGATACAATGGACAATAGTCTATGTGCACAGATTCTTCACAGGCTAGGCTAATAAATTTGCATCTTTTTATTTAGGCTGCTGATATTCAGTCAGTAAAAATGTTACTACTCTTCAAAATGAAGTGTTAAAAATTTACTACGATAAACCATATCGATAAGTAACCATGCCAATGAAATTACGTCTAACTTACACAGTTATAAAAATGATGGCCTTTCTGGATTAATTTCAATGTTGATTTCATTACGAAGCGATATTAGTTGGAGATGATTCACGGAAATCAACTTAAAATTCACGTCCCACTGAATTGCTGTCCAAGTGTGTGAATGGTGAACGGCTTTGGTCTCGTAGCCTAAAGGTCCGGTGTGGATGTCTGGTTGGGTCGTGGGTGCGCCCGCTACTAAACAAACCGAAAGTAGGACAAAAGAGATGCCCAGTGCTATCGCGTTTGTTTTTTCAAAGATCCCTAACTGATTATTTGTTTTTAATTCAACTTTGATTTTCCTGTTGATTGATTAGGCGCAAATTTTTGGGCTTGTGTTGACGTATCGACGATGACTGAGGACTAACTTGAAGTAATTTGGTGGTGATGGTGATTAGCAGTGAAGTGAAAAATATGCATTCCGTGTTATTTGAGACTGATCATCTGGGTGTGGCTGCATTCCCCAGTGAGTGATAGTGTCCCCACTGGAACTCGAACCCAGTACCCATCATTTCAAACGCCTAAGTATTAACTACTAGATGACTTTGGCCATGAGAACCAAGTCTTGTGCAACGAGTATCAGTTGTTATTCGTTTTTAATTGAATTTTGGCCGGAGAAGTTTAGTGAATAAATTTTGGCGTTTGAAACGATGGGAACTGGGTTCGAGTGTTAGTGTGAACACCACCACTCACTGTGAATGCAAGTACATCCCAATGATATGTCTCAAATAGGAACAAATGCACATCCTGGATTCCACTACTAGTCACCAGCCACCAACCAAATTACCTCTAACTCATGCTGGTTTGTGACGAAACCAACATAGAAATTGTGCCTACAGTCACAGTTTAAATATATTCATATATATATGCTATTATTATTATTGTTATTCTGTACAGCTGATCTTGGTTAAATACAAGTAACACATGTTGTATCCAACAACTCGAAGACGTGCTGACATTTTATGTTCTCCTTTCACTGGTATTTTCAATGAATCGTTTTCCAGTAACACTGTGCCTGCTTCTTGGAAGGACATTGAAATTATTCCTGTGTCTAAATCATTAAGTAGACCGAACGTTAAGCTTAGACCTATTGCCATCACTTCACCGTTTTTCAAATTAATGGAAGGACTGCTTTCACTCAACCTTGAACCTTCATTGAAGGCTTTTAACAACCCTAATCAATTTGCTGATAAACACAGTAGGTGTACTTTAGATACCACTGTCATCTTATATCATAATATTGTCTCTAGTTTCGACAGAGGTGCCAGATATGTGTTCGGTGTGCCTTCCTAGATTACACATCTGCCTTTGACTCTGTACCAAGGCCTATTTAGTTAAACGAGCTTACTATGTGACAAGCACAGTGTTGGATTACTAATTGGTTGCATTTCTCCATTGTGGATAAGATTTTACTTTGATAAATCGCACAGTGTTGTACAGTAGTATTTACTGATGACGTTTTGGAGCACAAATTATCACTCATAATCCTATCAAGTCACTCAAACCACTTTTTTGATATGATTATGAGCAATAATCTGTGCTCGAAACGTCATCAGTAAATACTACTGTACAAGACTGTGCGATTTATCAAAAAGAATCTTATCTGTAATGGAGTTATACTCCACCACAGTGCCCAAGTTTTATACTTATATCAATGATACATATGTTCGCGTTTATATTTTTCTGATACGAAGCAGTACACTGTTTACAATGGGGATTGCTTCACTGCTTCACTTACTTACTCACTCACTCTAGCTGGTGTTCCTCATCGAGCTGTTCTTTCTTCTTACGGCAGCCTGTATACGGCCGTAGGTCATTTGATCAGCTGATGCCTGGAGACTGCATTTATTGAAGAAACGTCAAAATTTGGTAAGTATTCGTTGTGTTACACGCTTTTATGCCTGTATTCCTGCTAAAAGTAGATGAAATGAAGCGGTTTTAGCATAAATAGCAAAAGATGGTGTCCTTTGCCGACTGCAATTGACGGTCAGTTTACAAATGGTTGAAATACGTACTGTTTTGTTGAGAAAATGCCAAGTTACTTAAAGACACTGGTTATAACGACTTCTAGTGATGTTTCGTTTTGCATTTCAAAGGATTAAACATCGATATGATGAGGTAGGCTGGTTCGTTTTGTTAATTATTTTCACTTGCTTTGTTGTCTGCCTTTGGTGGTCGTCTCAAGGCTCCTGAACATGCATCTCTTTAGAGGAAATCTACAGAAATACTCAGGAATTATTTACACATAGTACTTACTTGTTTCACGGCATAGACTTGGTGTTTACAGGCAGATCGAATGTCGATTTCGTCTGCTTGAGAAATATTGACTGACGTGATGATACACACTTGAAGACAATATTCAGTATTTCCTAGCAATTAATTTTTGTATTTATGGTGGTAACAATGTCTACATCTTTTGATTGCTTATTTCCTTTTTCAGGTGATAGCTAATTTCGGGGATTTCATGGAGTTGGGTGCTGATGAGAAAGATTTCCACATTGTCATTGATTTTGTATTACAATGTTGATTCATTAATAAATGTATTCCTCGTTATTCGTTTGTATATTCTACTTGATAAGACTGAATATTAACGTTTTCGGAAGTTGTGAAGCACAGAGTATATGAGGCTATCTTTGAAATACTAAGTAAGCGTGGACATTCGGAGAAGCCTATTGGTTATTGGTAAAAAGACTATGTTGTAGTCAAATAAAGCAAATATGTCCAAATGTCAGAGGAGGAGGTATTGAGGTTATGAAGCGTTTCGAGTTTCGAACACATCGACTGATTCGCGATTCATAGTCACAGAGTGAAACTAAATCTACCTGAGATAGTGTGCTTGGTATTTCCACGTGTCCTAATGTCGCATGAGGAGAAGACTGTACCCATACTTTAAGACATATTTTAACAACAGAAGACAAGACACGGAAGCCGGGGTATATTTTTCATTAATCAAACCGTTGCAGTCACTGAACGTGTGATTTTGGTTTACATTAAACGACATGACATAGAATGTCCAAATATATATATATATATATATATATGTGGTACTCTGTTGCTAACTCAGTATTGACCTGTGAGAATAATATTCTATTCTAACTCTAGCAACAAAGAGAATGTTCAAATAGATATATCGTATTCTGTTGGTGATGCCGTATTGAACTGTGGGAATATATGAGAATCATATTCCGTTGTCACACACTGTCTGTATCACATCACCACAATATGACTCAATGCAACTAAGGTTATAATAATAATAGCAATAATAATAATAATAATTGAAAATAGAATGACTACGGTTTGCAGCCACAGAACACGGTACCTTACTAACTGTTCATCTAATGGCATCAACAAAAGTTTTCCAGACACCGCATTTATCCCTACTAGTTAACCCTTAATTCCTACCCTAGCACGCATCACCGATGTTACTGGAACACAATCGCATTATAACAGAAGGAACACAGGTTGAATGAAAAAGTGTTTACTAGACAAAAATTAGATTTCAGATGAACAGATAATTCTGACGAGTAGTCCTCTGTCACTGTCAGCAGCTTCCATCTGCGTGTACAGTGCATATATGTTTCTCCATAAGTCTGAAAAGGTTCAAGAAAAGCACTATTAACTTGGGTGGTACATGTATGATGTGAATAGAAAATCTTCCAGATGACTGCCTGACAAGCATTTACAAGTAATCATTTTACAAACAGTATATAGAGGTAGCTGCATAATTTTCATTGAACTTAAGAGACTTCACAATTTATCGTCGGTTGACATCTAGTAGGTGCATCGAAGCATCATGATATGTTAAAATCACTTAGCAATAAGTTATGCAGTAATTTTCAAGGCTTGAATAATGATTTTAATACAAATGACAAGGGCTTTACAACAACAAATAATGAGAGTATTAACTGCAACAACAATAGTAATAATCACAACAGCGATCATGTTCATAAGGACTATAATAACAAAAATAATAGGTATTATCTCAACGAATTCACTATTAACTTATGCGGCTACTAGTAATACAATGATATCAGTGAAATCCATTAATTAACCTTCTAAAGAAAGCGTTTACTTACTCTCACTGGTGTAATCTCG